GCTTCAAATTATGAAGAATGCACAGACTCAATTTCATTTCCACTTTCTACTTCTCATGTACCTGTCTGATTTTGACATATAAAGTAGAGAATGCATCTGTGTTGTCTTAATTTGGTCTTCTCATGTACTTTTATATTGTTTCTTTTTCTACTTGTCTGCACTGTGTCAAAAATATTTAGAGATTGGTAGGTGGAACATATTCTGCTCCCAGGATGGTTAAATATGCCCACTATAGCACCAGATTGGTGAGCCTCACACAGCCAAGACTGAGACTCAAATCAATTGGGGTCATCTTTCACAGTAGATCAAAGACTAAGATCCAATTCACATTTTAGCATATTATAGCCATTTTAAAGGGACTAATATCCACTCTTGGCCAAACTCCCTTAGAATAGAAGACTAACAGCTCAAACTGTTATTCATTTGAAGCCTACCCACCTACACTAGGAGAAGCTAAACAGTATGGCATATTATGATTTAACGACTGACAAAATGGGGCAATCATCATTAGTGTAAGAAATTGTCTTTTTCTGGAATTGGAAATGTCAGGGGTTCTATTGAGCCTCAACAGTTAAGAGTTTGGATTTTGTTATTCCTCTTTCTATTTTTGTAAAGAATGGTGAATAAGAAAGAAAAAATATGACGATTTAAAAAATATATTTGTATCTGAAACAAAAGAAAAAAGAAAAAGAATGGAACAAAGAATAGTTTAAAGAAAGATATTTAAAGTAGAAATTCTTGTCAGAGTGTATATTGAAAAAGTGGATGGCTAAAATAGAAAGTGAGATTTTCGATAACTATTTTGACTAGCATTGCTGGAGTTTCTCAGCATTAGGCATCTAAGGGTTGGTTTGGCAAGGGCTCATTGGGCTTTTTTGGCTCAATGAGCCATAAAAGACAGAATAGGCTCATGAGCCACAACAGACAAAACATCCCATCCAACCCCATAATCATTACACTCTTCTCTCACAAAAAAATCAAAAAAGCCAAAAGTCCTTCCCAAACTAAACTTTTGAGCTCAGGCTCATGTAGTCAAAAAAGTCAAAAAGCCAAAAAGCCAAAAGCCCTTCCCAAACTAAGCTTTTGAGCTCAGGCTCATATAGTCAAAAAAGTCAAAAAGCCAAAAAGCCAGCCTACTTCCCAAACGGACGCTAAGGAGATACCCTCACTCCTTTTCAGAGGCTTTAACCGAACCTTAGTCACTCTCTAATGCTCGGGGACAGATCAAGAGATGCTTTGGACATGGCAATACCCTCTCTTCTCTGAAGCCTTAATAATATTTGATATATCTATTGATTTTTATTTGTTGTCTGTGGCTTTTCTATGCTCTTTCTCCTACTCAAGGTTTTTAATTTGGGTAAATGTTCGAATATCAGTTTTATCTTTTGTCGCAGGACAAAGATGTCTCCTAAATTCCCAATCAATGTTGTTTCTAATATTTACTTAATTGGTTGTGTGACATTTAGTGATATGTTGTTTTCACTATATAGGACCGTACAGACAAGATGTTATCCGGAGGGGGTTGATAATTCTCATGTTGGCTCAGCGGAGAAGCTTGTAAGATTGCACCGGCATATTGATATCTTCATTCTTCAACCTTTTTCTGTTCTGTTTCTGCAGTTCTTCTATCGGATTGGTGGTGGCGAAAAGGGAGTTGTAGATTTAGAGTGTCGAGACAACTTTTATTCAACCATATGTCCACAATTATTAGCTGGTCGAGCCCATTCATTATGGGATAGTTTACTTTATATGCTGTTGATTGTACATTTTATTTTACATCAAGATGCGAAATGCATACTATGATATTCATTAATTTTTTGTCCCTGCTAGTTGTTCAGATGTTGAGAACTTAGATATAGGAATAACTTAAGTGCACTTTTTTTTTTCCTTTTCCTTTTGTCCTAGATGTTGTTTTGGATCTTGGATTTGAGGGATTTGTGGAGGTTTCTATGTATTTTGCTCATGATATTCTATTGATAAAGGAAAATGATTTTTCCCCACAAATTTGTCCCCCCGAACAGCCCGAAAGAGAAAGAGAGAGAGAAAGAGAACAGAGGGGAAGTGGAGGCAGGTCGTCGCAGCCCTCCGCCCGCTGTCGCCTCCGCCCGATCGTCGCAGAAAGTGGAGCATTGAATAAAAGGGAAATGATTTTTCCCCACAATTTTGTGCCCCCAAACAGCTCGAAAGAGAAGAGAAGAGAGAAAAAAGAAAGAGAAAGAGAGAGAGAAAGTGAAGAGAGAGAGAAAGAGGAGGCAGGTCGTCGCAGCCCTCCGCCCGATCGTCGCAGCCCCGCCTCCGTCGTCGCCTCTGCCTCTGCCCCCCGCCCCCTGCCTCTGCCTCCGCCTCTCTTTCTTCTTCTCTTCTTCCCTCTTTCTTCTTCTCTTCTTCCCTCTTTCTCCTTTCTTCTTCTTCTTCTTTTTTGATTGAAAAAAAAAAAAAAAAAAAAAAATTCAAAACGACGAAACGACGTCGTTTTGGATTCGGGGGGATTCGGGCGCCCCACTTTCGAGCTACGTAGCACGATTGATTGATAAAGTTGAAGTAGGGTTAAATGCTATACTCGAAGGCTAGAATTTTTGAATGAGATGTTTTAATTATAGCACAGGTAAAAGGTATTTTAATATATGGAATTTTTGAATGAGATGTTTGATATATGGAATGTAAAATATATTTTTACAAAAGGAAAAGGATAGGAAAGAAAAATTAAAAAATAAATAAAATTGTTGACTCTGTTTGGTTAGATTAATTGAATTTTAAAATGCATATAAATTTTAGTTGTTTATATAACTAGTCAATAGCTGAACTTTAAAATAACAGCAAACAACATAATAGATTGACTTAGGGGCTAATTATACTAAATCTTTATATTTTTACTTTAACGGTGGACAACTGAATCCCAAGGGGAGGGTGAGGTACAAATTGGGCTCCAAAGAGATTTGGACTATTCATTTCATCTTTATAATCTTAAGTCAATTTAAACATGGAATAAAATCAAGTATTTGTATTAGTCTTTAAAGTACTGAATAATTTCTCCTATAAAATGTGACGGTAGTATTTGCAAAATTCCATTTTTAGAAGATGAGAGAATAATGTTTTTTTGTTTCTTAATTAGGTTAGTTATATTAAAATTCTTTAGCAAATGTCATTTTATCTTTCTCATTTATAAACTTGTATATTTTGACACTTTCAATTATAAAAATGTATCATTTTCTCTCTCCAAACTATCTCAAAAAGAAATGTATTTGTACGATTTTATAATTGGGTGGGTTAATATGTACGAATTTATAAATAAATAAGATAAAGTGATATTACTAATAGTTGAGGATATTTTAATATAATTAATTCGAATATGCAAGAAATTAAATTATGAGGTAGACACAAACATCGTTGACTCGAAAAGCGTGCTACCAATGATTAATAGGAAGGAAATATCTCAAGCACAAACTAAAATTGGTGAAGAAAATATCTATGTACTTTTCAATAATATTCACTCTGTGGTTTTGATTTCTAAAATTTACTTTTCAAAAAATTAAGTTATTTTTATTTTTTGTTTTTACTGAATTTTTTAAAATATTTCTAAGCATTTTTTTTAAAAATTTTTAGATACACTTAACATAAATATACTTAAAAAGTATAATATTTATGAATTTTTTTATAAAAAATTCACTAAATACCAAAAATACAAAAAAAAAGAAGAGAATTCAGTATATTTTTTATATTCTCGTGTATTTATTGATTTTTTCAAATATTTGTTTACAAATATTTTACTTTTTAAATGCATCTAAGAGCATCTCCAACGGTGTACCAAATGTTTCACCAAATCTGAGTCAAAAAGGGGTCATTTCTTTAATTTGATACTTCGCGCTCCAACGGTTCAACATCAAATCCGTTTCATCAAATTTGCGCTGGGCAACCGGTTGGTTGACCGGCCGGTCAACCGGTAACGGCAAAATTTTTTTTTTTTTTTTTTTTTTACTGGTTTGAACCTTTTTTTTTTGAACTTTTTGAACTTTTGGTGGTCGACCGGGTGGTCAACCTGCCGGTCGACCGGGTGGTCGACCACCTAGGCAAAATTTTTTTTTTTTTTTTTTTGGTTTCAACCTTTTTGTGAACTGTCTGAACTTTCTCTGGGGCGACCGGTTGGTTAACCGGTTGGTCAACCGGATGGTCGACCCGTTCGTCTCATCCCAACGGTTAGGAACAGTGATTTGGTGAAATGCTTCGCCTGCACTCAGTTTGGTACCATTTTTGCTGAATTCTGGATTTGATATCGATTTGGTGAAAACGTTGGAGCTTAAAAAAGTGGCTTTTTCACCAAATTTTAAATTTGATGCCAGGTTTGGTTCACCGTTGGAGATTGTCTAAGTACAGTGCATCTGAAAAAAAAAATTACTTAAAATTTTAAAAATATTCAGTAAAAATAAAAAAACGCGAAAAATAAAAAACTCAATTTTCAGAAAATTGAATCCGAAAAATTAAAACCAAACATACTGGTTATAACTCAGAAAAAATATTTAAAAAATTAAAATATATTTATTGACCATAATTATTCTAGGTATCTACGCCATTCATCTGATTTTCGGAGTAAAATTCGAGACAAAATTTTATAGTGAATAGCATTTTCATATACTTTTCCACGTCTTGTTCTTGAGCAAGGATCCTCTAAAGTATTTTTTTTCCTAAAGTTTCCTAGAGTGGTGCATTGTGTGGTTGAGATTTAATGACAAGTCATATCAATTTTTCAACATTAAATTTCAACCACACAATGTACCACTTTAAGAAACTTTAGGAAAAAAATACTCTAGAGGATCCTTGGTGCTTGTTCTTTACCGACCCAATATGTGGGGTGGATATCATTCCAAAAGCACGTGAACTTGCTTTATCTCTTTTCATAGAGGTTTTTTTTGAGCTACAGAATTTCATTAGTATTTATGTTCCAACAACACATCCAAGGAGGTCCCCATTGTATTTGCCTATCATTCTAATAAGCAAAAGCTATAATGGATGATCAACGGAGGAGTTGTTTGTGTTGTGCTATTGTTCTGGTTTTAACATCTCTCATGTGTTCCTCCTCCTTCCACTTGGTGAATGCCCAGCCTGTGGATTATCCAATTGCCACTGTGTCCACTTCATGGACCATTATTAACGATCCCCCACCGGCCCTCGTAGCACCGGACTTTTTATGGAGACCAATCCTACTTCGAAGAGGCCTTCGATCGCGTTTTTCTCTCGTCTTCTGCTGCGATTTTGCATACACTGCCTGCATCGTTGGTGTCCTCATCCAAAAACAAACTTCCATTGAACAAGATGCAATAGCAGATGCCCCGCAACTAGTTTGGTCGGCTAATAGAAACCATCCTGTAAAACTTAACGCAACCTTGCAACTCACTCAGGATGGAAACTTGACTTTGTCAGACTCCGATGGCACTTCTGTCTGGTCTACATACACTGGCGGAGGAAATCACTCTGTCTCAGGCTTAAACTTGACTGAAGATGGAAATCTCGTCCTCTTTGATCGAAACAATGCAATGGTTTGGCAGTCTTTCCATCACCCAACTGACTCCTTACTTCCTGGGCAGATGTTGGTTGATGGGCAGAAGATAACTTCCAGCACATCTGCATCAAACTGGAGTCGAGGTTTGTATTCACTTGCTGTTCAATCTTCTCCTTATCAATACTATCTGTCAGCTTATGTAGAATCCAATCCACCCCGGTTCTATTTTGAATCAACGTATGATGTCAAATCCGAGAATCAAAGCTTCAACTGGCAGCGAATCCCTGTTTTATCATCATCATCAGCTCAGTTCATAAGGTTGGATCCTGATGGGCATTTGAAGGCTTATGAGTGGGGAAGATCGAATTGGAATGGGGTGGCTGATCTGCTGACTTCAGATATTGGTGACTGTGGTTATCCGATGGTGTGTGGCAATTATGGCATCTGTTCTTCAAATGGACAGTGCGGTTGTCTTGAGGAAGCCACCAGCAACCACACTTTCAGGCAAATAAATAGTAGGCTACCCAACCTTGGATGTTCCCTTGTTACACCCATTTCTTGTAACGATTCTCAATATCACACCCTTTTGGAGCTTAAGAATACTAGTTACTTTCCCTTCAACTCATACCCATCCAGAAATTACATGGATGAAAACATAGCATTAGAGGATTGCAAGAAGAGTTGCTTGAAAAACTGTTCATGCAAGGCAGCTTTGTTTGCGTATAATTGGACGTATCATTCATGGAAAGGTTGCGCATTATTGTCTGAAGTTTTTTCTCTTATAAATTATGACGGAGAACTTATAAATTATGAGGGAGAAGTTGATAACATTACTGTATTTCTTAAAGTGCACAAATCTCCGACTACACAGTATCCTATTCCTTCAACAACAAATTCTCGTCGAAAGAAATCAAGGCAAGTCAAGATCATACTGGGTTCAAGTCTTGGAGCTTTCTTCGGTGTATTTTTTGTGGCTGCCTCTTGGATTTTCCTTTTCAAAAAGAAACGAGAGTTTGAGGATTTTGACGAGTTCTTTGTGGATCAAGTACCAGGGATGCCTACTAGATTCTCGTACGAAGAATTGAGAGCCATGACAAACAATTTCAATCATAAGCTTGGGGAAGGAGGATTTGGGTCAGTGTTTCAAGGGACATTAAGCGATGGCACTAATGTAGCAGTGAAGCGCCTCAATGGTTTTGGTCAAGTTAAGAAGTCATTCTTAGCTGAAGTTCAGACAATAGGCAGCATTCACCATGTTAATTTGGTGAGATTAATTGGATTTTGTGCTGAAAAATCATATCGGCTTCTAGTTTATGAATACATGTTCAATGGATCCTTGGATAAATGGATCTTCCAAAGGCACCAAACATGGGCATTCAAGGCCAAAAATGGGAGCATTGCCCCCCCCCCCCCCAATGCAAACACGACATGAATTTTTCAATACAAAACGGAGTTTTAGCATGCAAAAAAGGCCCTCAAAACCCACTAATATGGCAGCCTAATGTCTAAACACAAAGGCATGCACAATGACCATTTTCCAAGGCACAAAAGAACAACCTTTCAAGCCAAGAAAGTGATGATGAATGTGGGCATACAAGCATGGATTAGGGACTGAAATGGCATATGAAATGACTCCAAATCATCGAAACAACCCAACTAAAGCATGCTAGTGACTCACACACCCAAGGCTCACAAGCCAAAATACAAAGAGGCTATACCAAACATGGAAAATACGACCAAACCAGTACCCAACAGACCTCAATCATGATAAATCATGACCAAAAGCTTCACAAAGCTAGGCAAGAACATGCAAGCACGAGGGTCTAATGGCTAGATGCATTTCTAGGCAAAATGGGAGAGTACAAAGCAAGTGTATTAAGCATGTAAGGGACCACAAATCCGATCAAAAATAGAGGTAAGATATGCCCAAATAACACCCAAAAACCTCTGAAATAGGGCCAAATACAACCAAGCATACATGCTACCCTTATGAGCCAAAACATGAGCAAAATAAGAGACCAAGGGAGAGGGGTGTCCCTCCCCTTTACAAGACCTCAAAACCCCTTCTTCACCACTGAAAATCCACTGGATTTTAGTGGTGAGAAGGCCAAGACTCAAGAGTAACCAAAGCTTAAAAAAGAAAGCACCAAAAGAGCCAAACAAGGCCTAAGAGGGGAAGGTCGACCCCGAACCAAAAAATGACCTTAATGAAAGATCTCAAGCATGCAAATACAAGACTTTTTCATGTTATACACAAAGCTTCAATCAGCATGCAAGGCAGGTCAAAAACTAATGCAAGATTGGGGAAAATAAAGCAAAAGTCTTACCCTTGAAGAACACTTCAAGAACAGCTGGTCCAGCCACTCTCCTCAAAGCCCCTCAAGGTCAAAGCAAGGTGTAATGGTGTGTGTCTTAGTGCAAAACTAAGGTCAAAACACACCTTTTAGGCCTCCAAACACACACTAAGGATGAGAGAGAGGGAAATATAGAGAGAGAGAGAGTATATGACAGATGTATATATGTATAATCTCTAGTTTTTTGTTCAAAATCACTAACCCTCTACAATGGAAGAAGAGAGGTGCTTATATAGGCAAAAGAAAAGGTTCTAAGCTTCTCAAAGAAGCTAAGTAAAAGGGGGCAAAGGGGGCAAGGAGGTCAAGGCTTCTTGAGGAAGCTAAGACAGCTGGCCAAGCTTCTTGAGGAAGCTTTGACAAAGGGTCAAGCTTCCTCAAGAAGCTTTGACCAAAAGGGGGCAAAATGGGCAAAATAGCCACATGTTAGCCCCGGGGTAGGTTTGTTGTATTCCAGCTGGCACAGCTGGCATGCACTATGCCTGAAGAAGGCAAAAAGGTGTTACCGGCCAAAAAAGGAGGTCGCCGGCCAAACAGATAGCCGGCCGGCCATATGGAGTGCCAACCGACCATTGGTATTAAGAAACCATGGCCGGTGTCAGAAATAAATGGCCGGTGATGCAAAGGGAAGGCCGATGGGGTGTGGGGATGGTCAACAAGCCATTCCCTACCCCTCAAAGCAAAAACACAAGTATTTGGTGCGAAACCAAACGCAAGACGAACAAGTTGAGAGATCCTGAGGCAAGGTGCGCAACCAAGGCCTTCGGGAACTCAAAACGAACACGAACATGGATGATCACCGAGTGTCCCCACCGGTGACGTCCAAGTCTCGAGGACGGTCAAAAATGGGGTGTCTACAATCATATATAATATATTTATATATATTGTATTTGTATAATATAATATTATATAAAAAAAAAAGGTATTATATTATGAGTAATGATACATCCCACTAAAAGTGGTGCTCTAAAGCACCACTAATGAGTTGGCAAGCATTTAAAAAAAAAAAAAAAGACACAAGCAGTGGGCCCCATCTATTGCCACATCACTAGTGGTGCTTTTAGAGCACCACTTTTAGTGGTCTCAAGCATTATTGTTATATTATTTAAGAAGTCAATTAGGTTTAGAAGTTCACTTAGATAATAAGAATAGAAATAAAAAAAGAGAAGGTGGTGTTCTGTGGGGGGCGGAGAGCAGCCGAGAGAGAGAGAGAGAGAGAGAGAGAGTGATCAAAGGAAGAAAAAAAGAAAAAAGAAAAAGAGATCTCTCAGCAAGCAAGCTGAGAGAGAAAGAGGAGAGGAGAAAAAAAAATATTAGGGTTTTATTTTGGTAGCTCCATTAGTTCTTTAAATATTTCTTTGATCTTTAAAAAATAATTGTGAGTACAAAACCAACTTCCCTTTATTTATGTTTAATTTGTTGTTTTTATTTATTTATTTGATGTCGAATTGATTTTGTATTTACATGTAGATGATTGATTAATTTTAATTATTTTGATTAGTTATGTATGTAAAGTTTAGGGTTTTTAGATGATTGATTGACTTTAATTATTTTGATTAATTGTATATGCAAAGTTTAGGGTTTTTAGATGATTGATTGATTTTAATTATTTTGATTAGTTGTGTATGCAAGGTTTAGGGTTTTTATATAGATTTATTTTGTGGTTGTAATCACACTCATGGTCATATGAAATTAAAAGAAATTAGGAACCCATAGATAAATTCCTTATACTCCACCAAGACTCCATGAATTGTTGTTTTATTTGAGTGTTGGCGAGAAAAAAGAGTGTATAAAAAAAAAGGTGAGGATTACGAAATTTATTTGAATGCCTTAGGCTTGGCATTATTATGTTTATTCTCATGAGTGGATGAGAGATTGTGTATATATATATTGTTGCCTCGTTCTCATGAGTAGACGAGTACTTTGATTTACGTGTGTATGTATATGCTAACCATCCAGGGAGTGTGGGTCAAACTCGGGACGATATCGCCATGCAAGTTTGGATTCGGAGCGGTGTTAGGTATACGGGAGGCAGATGGGATATATGTGTAGGCCGGAAGTGAAAGGCAGAAGTGGTAGAGTTAAAGTACAAAGAATTTAATTATGAGTTTGTCAGTATAGTGTGAATTATATTGATTTGTACAGGTTAAAAAATAGTAAACGACCTCAATAAATCATGAAATTTGAGCAGAGGTATGTATACGTGATTCTACACAACTTTTGTGTTTTAATTTTTTATTAAAATATCGATTAGAACTTATAATCGGATGATCTTGGTTATTGTAGTTTTGATTCATTTTAGCAATGTAAATTTTAGAGGCTTTTTTAACCCACGAAACAAGCTCATTTTTATTGGTTTCACGTAAACTGAAGTAAAACATTATTCTAAACACTTTTCGTGTTTTGAACTTTTCTGAAACAATTCATCTTACAGCAGTTTCTATTCATTTTTAGTTCAAGATTTTTTGATCGAATTTCGTTTTGGATTTTCTATTGAGTTTTTCTCTCAACCTGTTTAATTTCTACTAAATTAGTCCGCCAAACCTTTTAGGGAATTTGATTCTGTACAATTTTTGTTCTTTAAGTTTTGGTCAATTCAAATTATTTAAGCATGAAACGGTGCATTTTTATACTTCTTTAGCAAGTTACTTATAATTAAATTATACTAACTTTATTTTTTTTGCAGAATAGTGGGCCTTACTAACTTTTTATGCAGGGCTAACCTACCATATTTTTATTTTTATTTTTGTTTATTTTATACTCAATTTATATTTCGTTGTATATGGGCAAGAAACTAAGTGCCACCGTATCTTGGGAAACTACCCATTCGTCTCGGTGAGGATGGAACTACTTGTCTTATCCCGTAACAAGAATTAAATATATTTTTGTTTGTGTCTAGTGGGCACGTGGGTGTTAAATCTTGTACTCATAACTGACTCATTTTGTCTCTTGGCAACTCAGGTGCATTCTGTTTGAGCACAGCCGAGCTTCCTTTGCAGGATTAGTTGCGGCTACGGTAGTGACGTGGAATAACTATAGTTGTTGGACATGTCGTTTGGACTTCTTTTGTTTTCTTGAGCTTAGGATTAATATTAGTTTATGTATTTTTTATTTTAGTTTTTATGGCCTTAGTATTTTGATAATTTGGCATGCTCTGTAACTTTATATTATTTAAGTTGTTTTGACTAGTTGTTGCTACTTCAATGTTGGAGGTATTGGATAGTTATGAATTTATGGTGGATGGTTTGGTTTGCGTTTTGTTAGTTTTTTTTTTTTTTTTTTTCCCTTGTAATCTTTTGAGGCTGGAAATTTACTTAAAACCTTTGGAGACGTGAACGTTTAGATTTTGTTTCACCCCTAGGATTTGGATGACGGAATATTGATTGGGGTTTAATCCTAATTTAAAATTTAATTGTCCAAATTTTGGGACGTGATAATCTTTTACTAAGTCACTTTGTCCATCATATTCTTCACATGTGCTTTTACGTCTTCCACCTTGACTTCCATGTTCCATCATGCAAGGCCACTAACTTTGTAACTTCTCTTAACTCCTGATTGATCAATAAAGTACCACGTGTCCTACAACAACAACAACAACAACAACAACAACAACAACAATAATAATAATAATAATACTATTTATGGTGTCAATATTACCCCTTGAGGCTCTTTAAAAATGATGTTTATTTAAACTTTTAAAGAGCCAAACAAAGCACAGAACTGATATGAGTAATAAAGTGCTTTGAATAGCACAACAGCACCAATGAAGTGCTTCAAACGGACACTACACTAAAGGCATATGCTTCGAATTTAATATGAGTGCTTCAAAGTGATCAATTCGAATCAAGAAGCACCAATTTGATTGGACACAATACATACCAATTATGTTTGGTATGAGTCATGAGTAGAAGCTTTGTACTTTCTTAGGTGGCAAGTTCAAAATTTCAACATGAGACACCAATTTGTAATCAATGATTGCATGCACTCACTGTATATGGTGTCCAAAAATCGTGGCTAATACTTCAATGACATGGCAACACTATTATGTTCATTATAAAAAAAAATTAAAAAAAAAACGCCC